AAGTGAATGCTCAACGGCAAGAAGAGAAGGAACAGTGGGAAGAAGCACGTCAGGAGGAGAAGTCCAGATTCCAGTTCCAGCAACTCCCAAGCCTTCGAAAGCCAGAGACCAAAGAGGTTATCGATTTAGATGCGCCCGCTAGCCAGAATCAGGAGCAAGTGATTGCAATCGACTCAGACGACGAGGCTGATGCACAGATGGAAGACGTTCCAATTGAGGATACCAAATTGAGGATGGGCGATCTCGCTGACAAAGTCAAGGCGGAGCCCCCTAAACCGCTTTCTCCGCAGCAGAAGTCGCCTCCCCGCCAAGATCCTAGTCTGGTGAAGAAGACCCCATTTGCGGATGATTCTGATGATGAGCCAGTGGATTGGTCTGAGAGCGAGCCTGAAGATGAAAGACATGTACAGCATAAGTCGACCACTGACGGGAAGTCAGAGCCAACCGTTGTGCAGCCTCCAAATTCTCCATCCGAAGAATCTGAGGAGTTCGAGGATGTACCCATGCAAACGGAGACAGCCGCTTTGACTGAACCTGCCAAGTCGGCGTCGCCAGAGTTTGAGGACGTGCCTATACAGGGCGAACCTGTTTCAGCAGCTGCACCCCCAAAATCACCATCGCCAGTGTTTGAAAATGTTCCCATTCGCCAGGAACGACCACGTCGACCACCAAGGGAGCTATCGCCTTTGCAAGGTCCAGACGATCTGACAAAGCCTATCGTCCCTCACAGTGGCGTAGCAGATGACAGCGCACCTCTAGACATGCCTGAAGGTAACGACTCGGATCAGTACTCTGATCCCGAGGACGAAGAACTCTTCGCATCTCTAGCGAAAGAAGCAGAAGAGCATGCGCGATTCGCTCAAGAACTGTCCAACAACACTGCAGCCAGGGTAAATTTCGATGACGAGCTCAAACAGCTCCGCGCACAGCAAAAGAAAGACCGTAGAGATGCGGATGAAGTCACCCAGACCATGATATCCGAGTGCCAGCACTTGTTAACTTTGTTCGGATTGCCGTACATTACAGCGCCTATGGAAGCCGAAGCTCAATGCGCTGAACTGGTCACACTTGGCCTTGTGGACGGCATCGTGACCGACGACTCCGATACCTTCCTCTTCGGCGGTACGCGTGTCTACAAGAACATGTTCAACGCAGCCAAATTTGTCGAATGCTACCTCGCCCAAGACCTCACCAATGAATTCAGCCTCACACGCGATAAGATGATTGCAATTGCCCAATTGCTTGGCAGCGACTACACAACAGGCATTCCAGGCATCGGGCCCGTAACCGCGCTTGAAATCCTCTCCGAGTTCCAAGACCTAGAGTCTTTCCGAACCTGGTGGGACGGCGTCCAAAGTGGAACTATCAAGAAAGAAGAAGACGCAAACAAACCGTTCCGAAAACGATTCCGCAAGAATCAGGCTACCAAACTCTTCCTACCGCCAGGGTTCCCAGATCCTCGTGTAGCCGAAGCTTACCTTCATCCCGAGGTCGACAGTGACCCTGAGCCGTTCCAATGGGGCGTCCCCGATCTGGCTGCTTTGCGTTCTTTCTTGAGTTCCCAGATTGGATGGAGTCCTGAGAGGACGGATGAGGTGCTTGTTCCTGTCATCAAGGACATGAATCGAAGGGAGAAGGAGGGTACGCAGGCGAATATTACTCGGTTCTTTGAGGGGGGTGTCGGGGCTGGCGCTTTTGCGCCCAGAGTGAGGAATGCAGAGAGCGGGCCGAGTGGGAAGAAGAAGGGTACAGGGGCAGCTGGAAAGAGGTTGGGTGCTGCGTTGAATCGATTGGCGGGGAAGGATGGAGTGGCAGGAGATGGAGTGGCGACTGCAGGTGGAGAGGCAGAAGCTGTGCATGAGACGACTACTGGTGGAACAGGCAGGAAGAAGAGGAAGGCTGCAAGTAAGCCTATGTCGTTGGCTGAAAAGGAGGATGGAGATGCGACTGCCAGTGTTGAGGAAGAGGAAGAAGATGAGCTTTACAAGGAGCCCACAGCGAAGAAACCACGGAAGACGCGGAAGGGGAAAGCAGCCAAGTAACTTTGAACAATCTCGATATCATCTATCATTACATCTACCCAACCCTTATCTTACACAATACAACATCCATTCTAATGTCCTCATAACTTCACACTCCCGCCCTCGATCTTCTTCAAGTCCTCCACCGTAAACCTCTTATAAGTCCCATCCCTTAACCAATACAACGTATCCCCCTTCTCCTCGACAACCCTCGGATCAATCCCCTCCTTCTGCAACTCAACCTTCTGTTGCTTATTAGTACCCGTCAACTGCATCTCCCTGGTAACCCGAATCCAAACGGGCACCGCAAACGCCGGCAACTCCCTCTTAACATGCTGCGCCAGCTCCGCAAGCAACCTCTCCCCCACCTCACCAACCCCCTGCTCAAACACAACCGCCGCACACCCCGCGCGCCCATCATGTCCCGGAACACTAACGCCGTATACATTCGCCTCGGCAACACTGTCGTGTTTGCCCACAGCCTCCGATACCTCAGCCGTAGACACATTCTCCGCTTTCCAACGAAACGTATCGCCAATGCGATCGACGAACCAGAACCTGCCTTCCGCGTCCCAGCGCATGAGATCGCCAGACCGGAAGTACGCATCCCCTTTCGTCTTGACATCGCGAATAATCTTCGAGTTGGTCGCCTTCTCATTGCCGTAGTAGCCTTGGAACCCGTCTTTTATATTGTCTGCATCCAGTTTACCAAGTAGCTCGCCGGGCTCGTTGTAATCGCTGATGTGACACAGACCGGTTTTGGGGTCGCGGAGAGGCTCCGGGGGATCAGCGTTGGGATCCATACGCACGAGCGTGAGTTTGCGCGTCATGAGGAAGTTGGCGAGGAGGCCGTTGCGGGCGATTGCGCCGCTGGAAAAGGAGTTTGAAGAGCAGTTGAAGAGGCCGCCGGGGGCTTCGGTTGCGGCGTAGAACTCGTAGATTGTGGTGATGCCGAAGCGGTGTTTGAAGGGTTCCCAGACGTCCGGGCGCAGGCCGTTGCCAAAGGCGGCGCGGAGGTGGTGCTGTTTGTCGAGGGGGGACGGCGGCGCGGAGAGCAGGTAGCGACAGGTTTCGCCGACGTAGTGCAGGATTGTGGCGTGTGAGGAGCGGATTTCGGGCCAGAAGGTTTTGTGGGAGAATTTCTTGGATAGGTGGATTGTGCTGCCGGCGCGGAGGACGGCGCAGGCGCCCAGGACGGAGGCGGAGCTGTGGTAGAGGGGCATGGAGGTGTAGACGATGTCGTTCTTTAGTGACATCCAGCTTGCGGCGAACTTTGCGCCGCCGCCGCATTTGCCCCAGGACATTACGGCGGGTTTGGGCAGGCCCGTCGTGCCGGATGTGTAGATGAGCATGGCCATGCTGCTGCGCTTCTGGTCGGAGCGAGCCGAGTCGGGGAGGCGCGTCGGCGGGTGCGTGAGGATGGTCGAGGTCAGGGCGTCGTCGAAGAAGATGATTTCGAGGTTTCGCTGCGCAGTCAGAGGCTCAGAGACGGCGCCTGCTTCGACGGCGGCTTGGGGAGTCTGTGTCTGGTTCTTGACTGACTGTGGGACGTCGGACGGTTCCTGCTCAAACGTGTATTTGACCTTGTCTGCGTGGTGGACGCGAGTGAGGCCATGCTCCTTCAGCGCGTCTTCGCTGAACTTGTCCCTGCTCTCCTGGTCCACCAGCACCAAGCGCGCGGTACTCGTCTTGACGGTGTGTACCAGCGGCTTGCCAGAGAGGTTGTAGTTGATAAAGGCGGGCTTCGCGCCAATGCTCCAGAGGCCAAACCAGACCCAGATGAAGACGTCCGAGTTGACAAAGTCCATTGCGACAATCTCATCCTTGTCCACGCCCTTGCTCTTCAGCCAGTTCCCGTACCGCAGCACAACGTCGTAGGCCTGCGCATACGTCCATGTCTTGCCCTGGAAGATGATCCACGCATGGTCTGCGCGCGCAGAGGAGTGGGCATGCGCCTCGAGTTCGTAGAAGAGGTTCAGCGTGTCGCGTCGTTCCTGCTGCGCGCCGACGATGCTGCTGCCGATAAAGGAGGACAAGAGCGGCCAGTCGTAGGTGAAGCCATGGCGGCCATTAAGATACGCGAGACCAGCTGCGGCGGCGGGCAGCGCAAAGGGAAGAACTGGCAGTGCAATGTGTCAGCGAGCTGCGCCGTGTGGTTACAGGCTGACGCGAGATTACCTGACATAACCGGTAGCCAATGGATCTGGAGCAACAACGAAACGTATAAAAAAAATGCTACAACCGCGCAATGTCCAGTATTCGCATAGACAAAAGGAGAGACTTGATCAGATACAATCTACTCATCAACTTTCCGCGACACCCCGTTGTCGCCAGCTAGTGACGTTTGACCACACAGCTAGCGGCAGTGGGCACCATGGGAGCTGTGGAGCCGAGGCATTTAGGGGCACCCCAGTCGTCTCTCGAGTAAGCCCTCCCACCTTGCCTCCTCTATCCTGAAGTGGCTGCATTCCCCTCATCGCCCAGACATGACCAACCTCTTGCGTTGCCCATAGAAAGCCACATGCTGCTCCGCGTCGGTGGCATGTGAAGTATAGTAAACTATCGGCAAGACGATGGCTGCACATCACGTCTGGAAGCTGTGACACGCACAAAGAAGCCATGTCAGTATGATAGTCAAACAATGTCATGTAGAATAGCCGCTTGCGGCAGGCACCGCAGCTGTTTGCTTCAGATGGCCTTTGTCCAGTACTCAGCCATCATGACAAAGACGCCTACAGACTACTGCACACCCAAACGCCGTCCGGCATCATGGCAAGAGACGTATCGATTTTTCGCTTGGTCAGGTTCAAGAGTCGTTTGAAGCATAGACGTCTTGGTATGTTTGCTACGTGCATGAATGAAATGTCATCTGCTAATGCGCTCAAGTGAACAAACATTGTCCCAGATCAAGACAGGCGCTTCCAGTAGTATTTGGCGTCTGCAAATCGCAACCTTGAGATAGCCCTATCCCCAGATCACATGGATATCTCAGCTTTCGAAAACGTCCCTCCAGTTAGCGAGGAGGAGCCGACACAGCGAGAGATCAACGACAGACGATTAGCTCAAGCGATCCGCTACCTGGATAACGAAGGAGGCGATGACACTGATAGCACTTACATGAATCACGTTGAAAGGATCGACGAGGATCTCCTCCAGCGACTTCCTCCGCAAGAGCGCAACTTCGACGACCAGCTGTATCAGCGCGTGCAAGCTCTGATTCGTCAAGCGCGGCTCGAATATGAGGAAGAGGTTGCGCGAGAAGATTCATCGTCTTCGTTAGGCGGGGATTCCCCTAAGCCGATGATGATAGAAGACGTACCAGACTCCTACACGCCTTCTGCAGCGCAAGCTCTTTATCGAAGAGGCGATACACCGGACGAACCTCAGGCGATGCCCCCCAAACAAGTGCCTGCAGCAGAAACAAAGGCACGGCGCGAGGAACGGTTCAAGTACGGTGGCCCGAACAACGAACCGGAAAGGTGGCACAAGAACTATCCAGCCTCGCTGCCGTTTCCAGAGACCTTCCAGATGGCGCATTGGGAGAGTCTCAAGATTGACTTTGATCTTTCCGAGTCTGGCAAGAAAATGAAGGCAGAGGGCAAGATTGTTGAGACCAACATACCTTTTGATCGCCCTGAATTAGAGCAATATAAGAATCTCCCGGTATACGAGTCTGGATCACGCTTCAAGCTTCCGATACCCAGTGCCGAAGTTCAAGAGGAGATCAGCAAGTTGGGAACTCCTGGAAGCCTGGAAGAGGTTGTGGAAGAATTGAACCAAAATGATGACAAAGTGCGCGCCGGCAACTACAAATATACGCCACGAGTCTTCCTGGACAAATTCTCCGCAGGAACTCAAGGTGAGCAATGTAGTTTTCTTTTGGATGTGTCTCGCTAACATTAACCTAGTAGATCCTACAACGATCCGCAATGCTGTCAACACGACACCTGTCAAGTCTCGTACCGGTGCTATGGGCCGCAGTATTGATCAGCCACGCCTAGAAGACGAGGATGCGCATGCTATAGGGGACAAAGCTCGTGCGGCACTGTCGGCAGCTCGCATGGCTCGTGAAAAGGTCCGTAAAGCAGAAGAAGCTCTCAACGCAGCAAACCAGGCGAACCTGGAAATACCTACACGAACCCCACAAACCACTTCACCTGTCGCTAGGAAGCTCAACCGAGAGCGGGCGACATCCCTCGAGCGTAGCCCGAGACGCCAAAGCGGTGTCAGTACTGCAGCTCCCAGTCCTGCATCGCCGGATAAGACTAGTATGCATCCACAGGTAGTCATCCCGAACAAGCCAAATAATCGTCAGACAAAGCCTACCCAGGCTTCACCTCCCAAGCCGCAGCCTACCCCAGGCCAGACCAACGTCGCTACCCCCAAGACTGCCACCAAGAAACAACCCAAGCGTAAACGCAGTCTCAGCGAACAAAACTACACCCCTGAGACCAAGCGGTCAAAGTCTGTCGTGTCTTCCTCACGGAAAAGCAGCAGAACCAAGACGCAAAAGTCTCCAGGTAAAGCCGTTCACTTCCAACCCAATGAATCTGACGTCTCCGACGAGCTTTCTGACGACGACCTCGCAAAAGATGTCCAGGAACTCACCACCGTTGTCACGTCCACCAAGGCCAAGCCTACCAAAAAGACCACCAAAACCACAGTGGTTACAAAGAAGGTGAGCAAAGCGGCTGCAGCAGGTAGAGCGGCGCGCAAAGCGAAGGCGGGGAAAGAGGTTGTTCTTGATGACGAGCATGTGATTCAGATGGCGAAGGAGCGGAGATCGAAGTCGCCAGGAAGGGTTGTGAAGGGGGGTACTAGGAGTGGGGCGAAGTATTTGAAGGGGTGAGGTGGTAATACCTTTGGGGTAGTTACGTTGGTGGTTTGGGGCTGGGATGATGAGTTTCATAGAGTTTGATGTGTAATGATTCGATACAAAAATGTCTTTCCCTGCTCTCGAGATAACTCTTTGGAAACTTTGCATTGTTGCGAGGTAGCTTCGTCTGGGTTGTCATCCCCGCAAATGCAGCTCCGAACAACAAGCGGGGCATCACGCTAGGACAAAGACAAGTCCGGCAGCGCACGAAGAAAGAACCGCCTTCCGCCAGCGGTGCCCATGCAGCGCCGATGCAATGGTGAGTAGTCCCAAGTACCCCAGATCTTCAAGCTTGGCAGCCTTCTCATACGATCTAGAACGAATCTGGTGCCTTCCATCCGATTGCATGTGAGTCCTGTCGCAACAAGAAGTCAAAGGTCTTCGCCATCAACCAGCATCGCAACGCATGAACTAACGGTCTACAGTGCGATCGCGAATTACCGATTTGCTCGCAATGTGTATCGGCAGGGACTTCGTGTCGGTATCCGCCGCTGAATAAAAGGTATGAAGAGAGTGGTTTCTTGGAAGCGAAGCTAAGGTTGTGATAGAGGCATCCCATCGGGTTATATATCCTTCGTCGAACAGCGATTGCTCGAGACCGAAATTGTCGTGTTGGAGCTCCTTTCCACGATCTACAATTCTCAAGTACCGATTGAGATGCAACGTCTCTCTGACACAGATCGCCGTGTACTAGCCGAGAATGTGCAAAAGCAAGCCAAGTCGAGCAGGATAGAGGAATGGAAGAGTCTTCCCCTCAACACGGACGAGGAGCGTCTGTCTTGGTGGTCAAGAAGACAAGATCTTATAAGGAAAGGCATTGAAGCAGGCAGTAGTCACGCATCTCGGGAAAGCCCTGCGCAGACGGAACCATGGGTCGTCGATTCGAGTCCTGTGGTGGCACACTATGAGGATGTGCGGTCATCAGTTGTAGACGGATCAAACCTCCCATTTGCGCAGCAGCCTCGGTTGGCGCAAGCTACGTGGCAGTTAGCACCAGATGTACTCGGTGTTCCAGAACCCGCGCCAGGTCCTCTTCATCAAGGCCAAGATATGCTAGCTATGTCGCCGCGAGGAGACTTAGGAAACGAAGCGTATTCGACAGGCGATGGCAGATCAGAGCCTGTTGCACCTTCGGTGGGCACTTCGCTTGACTCGCGTCCTTCGACTACAGAACAATGGCGTAAATATTTTTGAGATTGTACGAATCTTTGGGATCCTACGTGTATTTTTCCCATGTTGAAACGTGTTATGAAAACAGCATGTAGCAAGTAAAGCACACATTGACAGTGAATTTGCAACGCGAATTGCAGGCCGAGAAACTGACTCGCGTGGCACTAACGCCATGAGGCTGCCAGGGTTCATAGCTTGCCAAGCGTCATCTTCGTTGCGTCTGTCAGCTCAACCACCAGCCTCTTCTATTTCCATCAGCCACCCACAACTGCAGTGTATGACCGTCGCCGCGGCGATATCGATCCCAGTACAACTAAAGCTTGATATCCAAGCTTCATGTGTAGTGCATCCTCGGATAGATGATGGCCGAAGCCAATGCGAGGTCCAACAAGCGACAGGCTCTTCATGATGAGTCGGAATCTAACACAGCGGTGCCCGATGTCGGGGCGGTAAGGAAACGTAGAGCATTTCTTCAGACAATGGGCCAGCAGCTTCGGGAATTCGGAAACGAAGGAACAAGCCCTCAGGATCACAGTCGCAGTACATTCGGCACCAGCCCCGGCAGCAACCTCAGGCCTCCGTCCAGCGCAGGAAACATTGCCGCGAACCAGGCGTCCGTGCGTCATGTCGATACCCCAGAGAGTGATGCTGCACCCGGAGAAGATGATCAGCTACCCGCAGGTGCTGCAAAGAGTGCTTCAAGATGGCTTTGGAAAACAGACGAAGTACGCCCGCTTGCACCAGAGAGCGTCACATCAGCTATCGCATTTGATGACCTTCTCGAATGGAGTCAGTCTTACTTCGACCATTGGCACCCTGCCTTTCCGTTTCTTCATGCGCCCTCTTTACTGGATTACTTTCGTCAAATCGTGTCGAGGGGCGTTCGCATCGCGTCTCAATCTACAGCAAACGAACTCCAACACATCATACTTCGCTCCATCATGTCAATCTCCATCCATGACCGGCGACAGATGAATCTCACACACAAGCTAGTGCCTACAACACTCGTATTCCATTCCGTCAACGACGCCATCAGGAGCGTTCAGTTGGTGCTGACTGAAGAGAGCTCGATCCTCTCTTTGCAGGCTCTCGTTAGCGTCCAATTGTTCTTAATCACGATGCACAGGTACAACGCGGCGTCGCGTTTGGAAGGTTTGGCCGTTCGAATGGCCTTCCAGTTGAGTCTGCATCGCTGTCCGTTACAGTTATCAGTTCCAAGCAAAGAAGCAGAACTAAGGAAGCGGCTTTTCTGGTCTGTAATATGCATCGATAGATATATATGCATCCGGCTTGGTACGCCGCTCGGCATAAGGTCAGACGAGGCAAATGTCTGCTACCCACACACAGAGCGACACCTACGGGAGCCTGAGGAAGCTGGTATGTTTGTATCAGATTGGTTCCAAGGTTCTCGGCTAACTCACCTCAAGATCGCACCCGTGATGACCGATTAGATTTATTGGACTTTCTAGCTCGCCACGCCGACATCCGTGGATCCATCATGCAAACGCGACACCAATCTATGCTACATGGTAGCACCGATGATGTCGATCAAGCCCTGGAAGTGGAGGCAGAGCATACTAAGTGGTGGAATATGGTCGATGAACACTTGTCTAATGACGAGCAGACGCAAACCATAACCAAAGCACATCAAGTCACACTCATCGTCCTTCGCTTCGAGTCAGTGCTTGCTCTCCATCGTTCTGTGTTAGCAACGTCTAAGAAGAACGCTGCGTACAACGCGGCGCTTCAACGCTGCATATCGGCCTCGCGCTCCATAATAAACACACTACACAAAGCCCTCCGGGGTTTCGGGGCGTTCGATGGCTCACCCGGTCAACATGGATACGAAAGAACTCCTCTACTTTGGCCATCATTTACCTGGGCAGTATGGATGAGTACGTTTATTATCCTGTCTGCTGCTGCGGACGGACAGGTTACGCGCGACATCGCATTCAGGCTCTCAGACCGAAGCATTCAAATTCTCAAGCACCTGGCGTTGAGGGGTACGAGTTGGCCAGACGCATGCATAGTCGCTGTTCAAAACCTTGTCACACGGCTCGATAAGCCATGTAGCCGCGACCTTACGAACACGTCTAGGGACAGCTCGCGGCCGGCAACTCATGCTGCTCGCGATCCTTCCATTGGCATGGATAGCTGGCAAGCTCAGAGACAAGTAGCAGCAAATCGTTCGGGAAATTACGTGGCCTCAAGACACAATCCAGCGACAGGCACAGTGACGCCAACAGGACAGCTCCAGAGACTTACGGATCAGCCCCATGCAGTACCATATTCCGCAAGCTTCACAACCCAAGCGACAGAGTCAACCCTATCTAACGCCAACGCACAACCTGCCGATATGCAAAATGCCAACAGCCTAACATTCGACTATCTTGCTGGTGCAGGGAACTTTCTTGGTATTGCACAGCAATATTCAGACAATCCCTTACCCAACGAGGAAATCATGCATCTCTTCAACGGCGAAGACATCAATTACTGGTTCGGGAACGACCCTGCGATGACAGAAAATCCACTTTATCATGAACAAAGCTTTCATTGAGCGTCAAGAGGAATACTAATAATACCAATTACATACAATCAACCCGATTTTGGCGGTGTGACCTTGCCTAGCGAGGCTGACTTGAATGCAGCATGAATCTCCTGCTCTGCGCCGTCTTGTAATGGCAAAAGTCCACTTCGCACTGTCGCGTGCTCCAAGATACCCCTCGCCACCAAACCATGTTTGAGTGCAACAGTTCCCTCCATGTGCGAGCCACGATGGTAAACGTTCCTGGTGACTGGGAGCAGTCTGTCATGAACAGCTCTCGCACGAGGGTAGTCTCTCGCCTTGCCGGCTTCAATCATCTCAAGCAGCGGTTCGGGCGCGATGTTGCCGTACCCAACAAGCATGCCGTCGACGTCGAAGCATGTGTGTAGCAAGTACTCATCATGACATGTGAGGATAGTAAGGTCGGGGTTTTGCTTCTTGATAATGGGAATCTCGACGTCCCAACGGCGCATGTTGCGGACGCCGTTCTTCATAGCGATGACACCGGGCTGTGCGGCAATCTCGAGTAGCGTGTCCAGGTTGTAGGTAGCCTTGGTGTTGTCGGGATATTGGAACAGGATGAGAGGAAGTCCGGACTTCTCGTACACAGTCTTGTATCTGTCCTGTGGCGCTCCCGGCTGATATCCGAAGCGTAGCCAGCCATGGCTGGGGTACAGGAGACCCGCCTGCGCACCAGCAGCCTTGGCGCGTTGAGCTTCGAGCGCAGCCACCTCAGTGCCCTCTGTGGTGATACCAGCAATGATGGGGATCTTGTTGTCCACAGATTTGACAAAGGCCTTGATGACTTCTACCTGCTCTTCCTGGGTGAGGAAAGTGCCCTCGCCAGCGTGTCCCAGCACGACCAGACCCTTCACGCCTGGGATACTGCCGAGCCAGGAGCCAAGGCGCTGGATGGCTGCGTAGTCGACCGAGCCATCCTTGTTGAATGGAGTAACCGGCGCAGGGACGAGACCCGCGAGGTCGATCTGGGGAGCTTGCTTGACCTCAGGCATGGAACCCATTGTGGTGAGAGAAGTAGTGGGGTTTGGATAGGGAGTAAGAATTGATTGTAGGAGAGTGGACGAGTTTGGTTTGCGTTGGATGATGCTGAATCTTGGATCGAAAGCTTGCGTTATATGTACTTCGCCCATCCATTACATGGAAATGCCGAGCGGCAAACGTTGGACGATCTCACTGCAGCATACGACTTCGTGCCAGGTCTCGAGCGCATGTTTGGCAGGCGGACTTGAGAGAGTCC